AGAGAGGCGAAGGGAAGGAAAAGATGTGGTCGAAAAAAGTGTACAAGCAAGAGAGATAACCGCACCCTGGAGAGGATTGTGAAACAAAACCCATTCAAAAATGTGGGGGAGATTCACAAAGAGTGGACTGCAGCTGGAGTGAGTGCTTCAAGAACCACCACACACAGACGTATGAAAGACATGGGTTTCTGCTGTCGCATTCCTTGTGTCAAGCCACTCTTGAACCACAGACAGCGTCAGAAGCGTCTTGCCTGGGCTAAAGAGAAACAGGACTGGACTGCTGGTGAGTGGTCCAAAGTCATGTTCTCTGATGAAAGTAAATTTTGCATTTCCTTTGGAAATCAAGGTCCCAGAGTCTGGAGGAAAAGAAGAGAGGCACTTCATCCACGTTGCTTGAAGTCCAGTGTAAAGTTTCCACAGTCAGTGATGGTTTGGGGTGCCATGTCATCTGCTGGTGTTGGTCCATTGTGTTTTCTGAGGTCCAGGGTCAACGCAGCCACATACCAGGAAGTTTTAGAGCACTTCATGCTTCCTGCAGCTGACCAACTTTTTGGAGATGCAGATTTCATTTTCCAACAGGACTTGGCACCTGCACACAGTGCCAAAGCTACCAGTACCTGGTTGAAGGACCATGGTATCCCTGTTCTTAATTGGCCAGCAAACTCTCCTGACCTTAACCCCATAGAAAATCTATGGGGTATTGTGAAGAAGAAGATGCAATACACCAGACCCAACAATTCAGAAGAGCTAAAAGCCACTATTAGAGCAACCTGGGCTATCATAACACCTGAGCAGTGCCACAGACTGATCGACTCCATGCCACGCCGCATTGCTGCAGTAATACAGGCCAAAGGAGGCCCAACTAAATACTGAGTGCTGTACATGCTCATACTTTTCATGTTCATACTTTTCAGTTGGCCAACATTTCTATAAATCCTTTGTTTTTATTGGTCTTCAGTAATATTCAAATTTTCTGATATGATGAATTTGAGATTTTCATTTGTTGTCATTTGTAATCATCAAAATTAAACAAAATAAACATCTGAAATATATGAGTTTGTATGTAATGTATGAATATAATATACAAGTTTCACTTTTTAAATGGAATTACTGAAATCAATCTACTTTTTCATGATATTCTAATTTTATGACCAGCACCTGTATGTAGACACAGAATGGAGGCCGAGTAAATATTTTTTAACATCTGTTCCCTTTTTAAGTTCCTAGATCAAACTGTTTCTTATCAGTGTGTCTTGCCTCAGAAATTAGTAATCTTAACACCACCCTTTGAATTCAATGCTGTCTCAATAGCACTTGTCAGGTTTTATTTGTGAACAAACTTTTAGGATTTCCATAAAAAGTGCTGACATAAAGTGGTGATTACCAAAAAATAAAACACACAACATTTTTTACAGAAATGAAAGTAAAGCCTTAAGGTAAAAGTTTAAGTGTAAGAGTTAAGACTCTTTTCTTTTTTACTGACACTACCATTCTAACCATCTGAAACTGTCAGGTAGATAAATAAATCATTGCGTAAAGGGGTGACTAGTATAGATCCTTCCTTTTGATGATATCATTAAAGTTTAGATTAATCTAAATGACCCATTTCAGCATCTTCTAAACTGTAAAACAAGAGTACACGATTCATTATAGAGCTTTCAGAGCATTTCACAAATTAAGTCTACACCTTCTCAAGCATGCATGTGTTTGATTATTTATAACCTTAGCCTTCAGTTAGAAATGTAATCTCCAAGGCAGGTTTTTTGAGTGATCTTGCAACCAAGTAAATTGGATTTTCTGGTTTATACAAACTATTAGTTCCTAATTTACCAGAGAACTACAGAAAAGGAATGTGAAACTATTTTGGTTGTTTTGCAAAAATAAAGAACATAATTCTCAGTGAGTTATTAAGGTTACCGGTAATTGTTTTTTAATTGTATTTTATGTATTGCCCATCTTATGTGTCCAGTTTCTATGTTCTTAAAAAAACAACATTTTATTTCTGCCTGAATAATCATAAAACATACCTAAGAGTAATAAGCCAAGCTCAGATTAATCCCCAGGTTTCTGTTTTAGAACCTCAGGTTCTGTAAACTTGTTTTCCCTGTTTTAAAAAAGCAATAGTGTCATGATCGCAGCCCCGTTAGCTGATCTAATTACTCACTTCATTCACCTGCCGTACACTCTCCACTCTTCAATCATCATTGATCTTATCCACCTGCTCCCGCTTTGTACACAGTTCAGCCCAGCTTTTGGGACCACATCATTAGTTATTCGTGTTTGTTCATGTTTTTTTTCTGTGTCGTTAGTTTGGCATGTTTCCATGGGTAATGTTCCTATCCTTGGAGGTCAGTGGAATAAGAGGGTTTAGGATTTGTCTCCTGTCTCCTGATCATGTCCCAGCTCTGAATCCCTCTCAATTTTGGCTCAGCATGCGGGGGGAGCCAGTTTTAAGTCCCGTGATCTTGGCTCCTGGATGGAGCCAGTTTAAAGTTCTGCAGTACCCCTGGTACCATGTCTTGTCTCTTTTTTTTCTCAACTACTGGGCCCGCCTATATATATATATATATATATATATATATATATATATATGTATGTATGTATGTATGTATGTATGTATTTAATTTAACTTATATGTTTCCTAATTGTTTTATTTCTCCCAGGATTAATAACAAGGTGATAAGTGATAAATTTCCAAAGCAATATGTGGATGCACAGGTTTTATTTTTTTGTTTATACATAAAACTGAAACTAAACCTCACAATCATAATCATATTTGATCAAATTTTTATTTATAGTTGCACATCAGATTGGCACTTTCAATAAAGACATAATTCTGGCTTGATATTAGAGCATTATTGACCAAAAAAAGGATAATTTATATTGGTTGCCCTCCTGAAGCAGATTTTACTTTAAAGCATAATCAATGAATTTCCAATAGGGCTGAGGTTAGGGCTTTGGGTAGGCGATTTCACAAGCTAGAGTTGTCCATTGCAAAACCACTGCAGATGTTTGTTGGCCAACCAAGACATAATGGACAAGTTGAAGCTTAACCAAAATTTGCAGCTATCCACAGAATAAACCTGATTGCATTCTGGAGGAATATTAATTGTCAAATCAGACAATAACTAAACAAACTGACTAGAGTTGCAAGTTGAAGGTTTCAATGAATCAAGACAATTATGCTGTTAATATGTTTTACTATTGGATGTAAAAATAATCAAGTATTTGAATGTATTTATACATATGTCATCCCTTTTTTAGATTTGAGAAAATCCTCTCCATCCTATTCTTGTTTTTTTTTTTTTAAGATTACTATTTTTTTTAATGGTATTGTTTTCCATACATAAAACGATTCAGTTATGTTTTTTTCTCCCCCATTTTGAGTTTTTTTTGGCTTTTCTGTTGCCTTCTAAAGATAATAAGATAATGACTCAATACACTGTCACAGAAATATAGCCTTTCATTTTACGTTTAACAATAATATCACTGAAAATTGAAAAAAAAAACAATAATCAAAACTGAAACTTACAAAACAATGAAATCCTGAAAAATAGCAGCAGTGCCAGCAGCCTAAAGCTAAAAGGAAATAACAATCTGGAATGGAACAGATGCTGAGAGTGACTGCTTGTATGAAGAACAAGTTAAAAACAGCTTACTGGGATCAGAGGGCAGTGATAGAAGAAATGTGATGAGGGAAAATCTTTGGACAACTAACACTAACACACAGAACATGTGCCCAACTTAAGGCCCGCTGGCCGATCAGGCCCATCACAGCCATACATATGGCCCCCAAGACCCAAGAAAAGCCTATCATGTCATAAAGAGGAAGTCTCCAAAGTAGCTAAGACTGTAAAATACATGGGAGTAAACATACATGCTATTGGCAAATAAAATTATGAACTAAAAGGCTACTTTTTAAGACTAGTTGATGTTAAAATGGCCAGATAAAAAAGAAACAAATACCAAACAAAAACTGGGAAATAAAAAAAGAAAAGCAACTAAAACTAAAACCCTTAATGGATTAATAAAATGATTAAACATTATGTACAGAACACCAAAACATAAAAAATATTTAGACGTCAGGACACTTCTTTTATGTGTTTTTCAGGATGCTGCAGCTAAAGCTATAAAAAGCACAACATAGAACTGATGTATTAATATTTTTCTAGATTCATAGTATAAGTCATAAATCTGTCTGTTTTACCCTAAAACTCATAAATCAGAAGCAGGGTTTCAGTTTGAAAAGCCCTCTCCATCCTTTGTTGTTCTATACCTCAACATTTATTTGTCTGAGCAGAAGCCGTTACTTCTGCTTTATCCTCACAGTAAAGAAAAGTTTCATTTCCTCTGCTATGTGAAATGACCACAGTAACCCCATTCACACAGCATTAATAGCTGTCCTTTTAACTCCAGCTGTTGAATTTTTCTGAGAATTAAATCTAACATCTGCAAGAGAAGTTAGGGTAGTATTTTGGTAATCAGGGTGCAGTTGCACATGTTGCTCACTATGTGTGGCAGCTACCAGGAACATACAAAACTTTGATTTCTCGGAAACATCAAAAGCATTTCACAAGATAGTCCTACTTAATTATGCATGCCTTAAAGCTTCATTACTTCTCTCTTTTGGAGGTGCAGAGAAAACACTAGTGCATTAGTTGTAGCTAAAGCCATAAAACAGCATTAATCGAAACTGCTAAAGCTGGGATTATGTTAGCGAAGACATGCTGTGAATTGGCACTGAATAAATAAATTGAGATGAATGAACAATCTTTGTAATCACCTCCAATAAATGTTACTATAACTTTTAAAAACAGATTAGTTTCCCGTATCAGATAAACTTTTCTGTACACAGAATTAACAATGTGAGAAGTTGAAAACAATCACAAAAATTCCCAGATCTTTAGGAGTTCAAGAGCTCAAAATGCAGTACTGAAATCATTAAGAGGATGGAAGTTTTGAGAAACCTCCCATGTCAGCTGATCATGTATGCTGTTTCTAAAACATCTAAAGGAAACAGAGCAGCTCAGTCGGTGCAAAGCTTAGACCAAACCAACCACAAAAAGACAGCAGCAGAGGATCAGAGAATAAAGGTATGGTTTAACTAATCACTTTGATGTTACTAAGTCTTCATTTTAAATCAACCAAAATAAATGTAACTTTCTGGATGATGCTATGATGTTATGTTTGTACAAATATTCTCACAGAAATTTTATATTTGTTCTACTAGGTAAAATGGAGGATGCAGACTTTTTTGACGACTATGATTATGGAGATTACTCAAACAACTACACTGAGGACAATAACACCATACGTGTGGAAAACTCATTCCAACACAAACCAGCTTGCAGCGAAGAAGGCATGTGTGTGTCTCTGACTGTAATCTATGTGGTCATTTTCCTGCTGGGCTTTTTTGGGAACATGCTGGTCATTTGGATCTCTGGCTTTAAGATGAGGAAGACAGTGAACACCACTTGGTACCTGAGCCTTGCAATCTCTGACTTCCTCTTTTGTGTCTTCCTGCCATTTAACATTGCCAACTTAGTGATGAAAGAGTGGATCTTCGGTCTCTTCATGTGCAAGTTTACATCTTCTGCATTATTCATTAACATGTTCAGCAGCATCTTCCTCCTCCTCGTCATAAGCGTGGACCGCTGTGTGTCTGTAATGTTTCCAGTTTGGGCCCAAAACCACAGATCTGTTCAAAAGGCATCAACTGTGGTTGTGTTTTCTTGGCTTCTTGCCATCGGACTGAGCATCCCCTCCATGATTGTTCGGGATGTACATGTTGGGAGTGATGGCAGGCACACTTGCCGCAACAATTACACCTCAAAACAAAATCACCAGGCTGTTGCCTTTACCCGTCTCATTGCAGGTTTTGTGGTTCCTTTTATCATAATTATCATCTGTTATTCCATCATTATCCTCAAACTCAAAAACAACAGGATGACAAAATCCTCCAAACCCTTCAAAGTAATGACAATGCTCATTGCTGCATTTTTCGTCTGCTGGCTGCCGTATCACATTTTTGTCTTACTTGAGCTGAACCCTCATAAGCATGACTTCTATATTTTAACCTCTGGACTCCAAATGGGCTCAATTTTAGCATCAGCTAACAGCTTCCTTAACCCATTGCTCTACGTCTTCATGGGAAACGACTTCAAGCAGAAGTTCAAGAGCTCTGTACTCTCCAAGATGGAGAATGCAATGGTCGATGAAGGCCGCACCACCAGCCGGTACCTGTCCAGGTCCAGCTCCATGGACGGCAGAGCTTCTACACACATTTAGAGGCATTAGCTTACTGTTGAAGTGATCATTTAGTGGGTTTAAATGAAAAAAAAAATGCTCTTCAAAAATGTGATTTTACAATGTGATTTTTTTTTCCTGAATCACATCTTTAAACATCTGTTTATAGTCACAGCAAAAATAATTATGTAAAAGTAATTGTTTTAGTTGTTAAATACAGCCAAGGTTTGCTGTATAAGACATGTACAAATCTATGATATTTTTACATGGAAATACAAATAATGCACTTTAACCATAGATAGATAGATAGATAGATAGATAGATAGATAGATAGATAGATAGATAGATAGATAGATAGATAGATAGATAGATAGATAGATAGATAGATAGATGATAGATAGATAGATAGATAGATAGATAGATAGATAGATAGATAGATAGATAGATAGATAGATAGATAGATAGATTCAGATATATATATATAGATATAGATGTATATACATATATATAAGAAATGGGTCATGCTACAACACCCCACCATCAAAACCAGAAATATCTAGGTTAATTTACTGACTCACAAAAACCAAACCTCAGATATGCAAATATATTGTTGTCTCTTAGATACTCTGAACCACATTTAAGAAGTTAAATGGTGTTAGTTGAGTTTGTCACTCTTTGCAATTTTTTCTAAACAGCTGTTAATAGTGGTAACAAGTTATATAAGCAATGTTTATATGGGCTTTAAATTTCATTAGTTTGATTAAGGTTTCCCGTTTTTCTTCTCTAAAATCTGTTGTATTCCTTAATTTATCTGTGTTTCAGATTTGAAAATAAACATGTTTTCTACAATCATGAAGAATTTATGTGTGAATAATTTAAAATGTTTATTTGGAAGAATATTTTAGATACTTAAAAAAATAATTTACGCTCAAACAAACTCTTATTTGATCAGTTTAAATGTTATGAAAAAGATACAGAACTCAGTTCAGAAGAATAAAGAGATAATACAGATAATTTGCATAGATTTTTAAGCTCTTTTTTGCAGTAATTCATCATGATTTTCCACCTAAAGAAAATGTAAACGTAATTAGATTATTACATCCAAACAATACCAAAACAAGGTAGGCTATTTTTAATCTAACAAATGAGTCTCATTAGAATACCTATTACTTAGTTACTGAATATGAGTGCAAGTGTTAATAATGAATTTATTGTGACAGGTTAGCTATACATCTATGCTCTTCATTTACAACTGGAAGGAGGAGCTCTTCAGTTCCTCTTGTGTTCTTTTCCACTTTACCCTGTTACCCTTGCCTCCTCCATTTTATCAGTCATATCAATATAGAGCAGATTATTTAGTGGCAGATTTTCTATGAGGAAATGATTTATGCTAAATCATCTTTAAAAGTGGAGTTATGATTCTGAAACATCTGTCACTAGGGAAGTCCCAGCATAGCATTGTAGAAAGTTTGAATAAAAAATAAGAAGTCTTCTACTTATGCTGCTTCAATTGGCATCTGACTGACAAATGGTCGAATGAAGACAGGTTTCACCTTCAAATGTAACTGCCTATATTATACTACATTAAATACTCATCTGGTACTTATTTCAGATGGGTTCTTTAAAACTATTTTCAATTCGCCCCCTAATAGATTTTTTTAGCACTTCTACTTCTTCTTCCTTTTTCTTAAGTAAATTCAGATACTGCAGATGGGTATGCACATTTTCGATTCGTACTACCGTAAATCCTCAAATGTCACAACAAACATGAGGCTCAAGTCAGACTTTTGGTCTAGGACTTGAGTCTTATTAACAAATGTCATCTTAATGAACTTCATCCAGCTCCTTTTCTACCTGTCTGTCATTACTAGATGGACCTATTCATCCAGGTGTGGTTGTTCAATGTCACGGTCACTGAGTTTGGACACACTCAGGTTAATCATCTCATAACGCTCAGAAGGTAGGACCCAGAATTCAGCCGAGACAGACAGTGGGATAATTCACAGCTTTTATTTTAAAATAACAGAGGCGGAGCTGTGGATTAGTTTAATCTGTTCCAGAATATGACATTAATAGTAAAAGTAACATGGTGCAACATACTGTTGCTATCGAGGGACACTTAACCCTTATTGATGGCTTGAGCTCTTGATTGAGTGTTCGTCCAGATGTTGTGGAGATTAGGTTTTTTAAACATTCTGCTCATGTTTTAGAATTTCAAATGTTTTTTTTTTTCAAAAGTATAGTGTGCAATCTCCCAGCTTTAAGTTCTGGGGGAACATCTTACCTATTGGTTGTCCCATGGAGCAAATTTTTTGATTTGCTTGTTTTCTCTTGCTGAACATGTAAGCTTATGGTTTTTATATATTCAGTGATATTTGGTTTCAGCCATTTGCTTCATTGCACTCACTTTGGAAAATAGTGGAGTCGCAAGAAGCAAGAGATGTATAGAAATGTATGAAAAGAAGACGGACACTTTAGAAAAAGGAAATATACATTAAAGTGTATTTGGAATATTCTTTCAGGCAATGGCGGAAGAGCACATATGATAACATAACGTATGCGCAGTTATTCAAACAGTTACTGGTTTTTATTTATTTTTTTACCTACTGTTAACTTTGTGTCATATGTCCAAAAACTTTTGGACTCTGTTATGTGTTGTTCTGTGAACCTATGGCCAATTGGCTGTGTGTTAACACAAAAAATGAAAGCGTGATTCAAGCTTAAATCATAGTCAAACGGTAAAAAAGAATTTCTCAAACAAAATAAACATTATTCATATCTAAAATAAACATTTTAGATGTCTAAAATGAATTTAAGATCTCCATATCCTTACTGGGTATGATTTATATAATTTTTACTGGGAGGAAAGGTATTTCAGATATCACAAATACATATTCACAAGAGGAGAGCTCTCCTTGCAAATTATTCCGCAATATACCTGCTTGTCTATTGACCATATATGACAAATACTTTTCAAGGTGCATTGTGGGAAATTTTAAGTCAATTACTTTATCCTCGACAAGATGTTTGGACAGTAACCACTATATAGTGCCCCATATAGGGATTAGGGTGAACGTTCAGAGCCTATGAGTTTCCAACCTTAGGCCAGATATGTTCAATGAAAATTATTGGAACACATGACTTCTTTTATATTGATTTGTGAGTGAACACTTCTCACAATGAATTGACTCTCATGCCAGGGTAAACTATCCTTGGAAAACATAAATCTTGATAGTGTTTATATTAAACATGAATTTTTGCCACCGTTTGTGGCATATGCTCAAGGATGTTTGAAACATTCCTTAGAAAGTTTTGGTCGATATTGAGATTTTTAGCATCATGTAATTGTTTTAAATATTTGCACTCTACACAATGTACTAAAATCTGCTGGAAATAATTACCAAAGGAGTATGATGAACCCGTCGTTGGAGACCAGCTTAAGATGATTTTAGCTTTGTGGGTCATGATCGAAGAACGAGATCCCAGATACAGGCACCCGGGAGTAGTTCTCTGCATAGTTTGTCTGGGCTCTCCCTTAGAGATAGAGTGAGGAGCTCAGTCATCGCAGCAAGAGTCAGAGTAGAGCCGCAGCTACTCCACGTTAAGCGGAGCCAGCTGAGATGGCTCGGGTATCTGGTTAGAATGCCTCCTGGATGCCTACCTGGTGAGGTGTTCCATGCACGTCCCACTGGGACGAGACCAGAGATGGGAAGTAACGAAGTACAAATTCTTCGTTACTGTACTCAAGTAGATTTTTCTGATATTTTTACTTTACTACTTATTTATATGGTGACTTTTTACTTCTACTCCTTACATTTTTACACAAATATCTGTACTTTCTACTCCTTACATTTAAAAAAAATGGCACTTCCGTTTTGAATCATTTCAATGGAGTTACCATTATTATTTTTCACGTCATCAATACCAAATTCAATCTAATTGGATGGGAATCTACGTTGCATTTGACGCACCACTACAAGATGAATCGACAGATTCGGCGGTATTCATTCACGGCAAATCATTGCAGCTTGGTGGCGGTGGCGTTAGCATAGTAGTATGGATGACGAGATGATTGAAAATGAACACAACGGAGATCTAGTCCTATTGGCAGACATCCATTTAAAATGTAGGCAACGGCATGAAAAAAGTGGTTTCTACTTTTACTTTTATACTTTAAGTAAATTTACAAGCCTGTACTTTGTTACTTTTACTTGAGTAAGAAGTTTAATCAGTACTTCCACTTTTACCAGAGTATTTTTTTAACACAAGTATCTGTACTTTTACTCAAGTACGGAAAGTGAGTACTTTTGCCATCTCTGGACGAGACTCAGAAGGAGACCCAGGACACGCTTTAGGGACTATGTTTTTTGGCTAGCCTGGGATTATCTTGGGATTCCCCTGGAGTAGCTGGCCCAAGTGTCTGGGGAGAGGGACAGAGGCCTACTGAAGCTGCTACCCCAACGATCCAACCCCGCATTAGCGGAAGAGGATGGATGAAGAAGTATTGTGATTTATACTTCAGAAACTTTTTTTCTTAGAGTGGAAGATTTCATTGCAAATCCTTGACTACTCCTTCCTCTAAGGCATAGACATGTGGTTTGACTTTATGATCTGGTTGAACTGTAAAGTGCCTTGAGATGACTTGTGTTGTGAATTGGCGCTATATAAATAAACTGAATTGAATTGGTACAGAAGCCAATTTCTTCTAGCTACTCCACAAAATGGGCTAGACAAGAGAACAAGTAATTCAAATAAGACAAATGGCTGTATTCTAAAAAGAAAATGAAATAACATGTGTATATCATATAAAAATAATAATAAAAAAAAAATATATATATATATATATATATATATATATATATATATATATATATATATATATATATATATATATATAATTGCTCATAGTAAGTTCAAAACAAATGAAAAGTGACAAATAAGGCTGAACGGAAAAGGGCTTTATCCTGCTACCAACAAAGAAGATGGAAATTGAGCTATATATTATATATTGTCTTTGGGTGAACAGCTTGATTTTTTTTAGATTTTGGTGCTGAAGTGAAAGCTTTATATATTCTAAAGGTTTTTTTTTTTTTTTTTTACTTCTATACTCTTCAGATTTTGCTGATATGTTTAAAGGCCATTGATACATTGAACTGTAATTTCATAAGAAAAATTGGACAAAAAAAAAAAACACCTCTTCAGCTTATTCCTTTATTGTGTCTTTTTACCTTACATTCAGTTCATGGAAAATACATTCAGATATGACACCTGCTCTGAAAGTGCCAGCTTGTCAATGATAGCCGAAACCAATACAACTTAGAGCATATGTTGAAAAGAGAAACAGCTTCTCCCATTTGTTCATTTTAATACAAATATTTCTCAAGTGTCAGCATATAATATAAAAATATATTATTTATAATACTATACTGAAAATGGAAGTCAGTTAAAACCTTTTGGCTATAGGGGATCCCCCAGCATTGTTCATTGTATTTCTTTTTATACAATTATGTATTTCTAAAGTTGTGACAAATAATACAGATTAATTTTTTAGATATTTGACTGTCGACACACTATCCTTGTCTATTTATTTTCATAATTAACAATTAAATGACTACAAGTTTTTAACAGCTTTCTTCAAAAGCAATGAAAAAAATAAAACCTACATCTATAATAACACATTAAGGTGATCTTCAACCTACAGGGAAACTTTGATAATTCGGGTAATCTTTGGGGAAGGTGTTGCACAGTGTAGTGCTTTTTGGATTCTTTTTGTAGCATTAAATCCAGTGTTTAAAAAGAGAAAAAAATCAAAATACAAATCTGTCAGCTTGTGCAGTGCACCACAAACATGAATGC